AAACCACACCCCTCTCCCCACACCTCTCCCCCTTTCCCCACACTCACCCTCTCTCACACCTCCCTTCTCTCTCTATCTCTCACCCTCCTCCCCACCTCACACTATAAATATTTTCCATTGTATGATCATGAATCTTGATCTTAAGAACCGAACTTTGCAAGATCCAGGAAGACATGCTTTTTGCCAACGGTAGTGAGGAAGGAGGAGAAGGAGGAGGAAGGAGGAGAAGGAGGGGGGAAGAGGGATAGGAGAGAGGGAAGGAGGGGGGGGAGATTTAGTGCCGAGGAAAGAAGAAGAAGAAGAAGAAGAAGAAAGAAGAAGAAGAAGAAGAAGAAACCATCGAAGACATGACAACTCACCATAGTATTTATCTACAACAAGTTTGTTTCTCAAGGAAACTCATTGCCATACAAATGAAGGCCGTCGGGGAGGGGAAGGTGAGGGGAGAGAGGGGTGAGTGGAGGGAGGAGGGAAGTCGGGAGGAGAAAGGGAAGTCGGGAATAAGTCGGCCGAAAATTAGTCTCGTCCTTACTAATGTGTTGCAACTTGACCTCTCTCTCTCTCTGCTGACTGTGTGTGTAGTGGGATAGTGGTGGTTGTATGGTGATATGGTAGGGGTATGGTGTTTGGTAGAATATGTATGGCTGTGTATGGTGTTATGGTATGGTTCAGTAATGTTGACGGACAAGGAAAGGAAGGACGGAAGGAAGGAAGGAAGGAAGGAGGAGAGAAGGCAGGGGGAAGACAGGAGGGCAGGGTCAGAAGGAAGGAAGGAGAGACGGAAGAAGGGCAGTAGAAGGGGCAGAAGAAGAGGACAGGGAGGGTGGAAGGACTAAGGACTGGAGAGAGAGAGAGAGAGAGAGAGAGAGAGAGAGAGAGAGAGAGAGAGAGAGAGAGAGAGAGAGAGAGAGAGAGAGAGAGAGGGGGGTTGGCGGCCAAAAACAAAGCCCTCTTGTTGTCCTGACCCACTATTACCAGAACCCCCACCACCGCCATACCCTCACGTCCCATCACCCCATCACCACCTCCCCCACCCCATCACCACCTCCCCCCATCAATACCAACAAAATACTTCCCTTCACAACACTATAATTCCTATCTAGTATCAATATATAATTAGATAGTGAATAGATAAGGATAGAGGCTAGGATGTGGGTGGTAGTGGTGGTTAATTGTTAAGGGAGGGGGATATGGCGTTTCAAGAGGACATTGTGACAGCATCATCCAGTGTTTGTGTAGGGGATAGAGCCATCTCTGAAGGGGCGCACCAGGCGACTAATTGACTCCTTCCTGGGGGGTGAGGGAGGGTAGGGGAAGAGGGGGGGTAGAGGTGAAGACAAAAGGAAGAAAAACAAGAAGAAAGCGAAGAATGTGCATAAGAAGACTAATAAAACGTCATTGTATGGAGGACGATAAAAAAATGATGAACAGAAACAAGAATGGGGGACACACACACACACACACACACACACACACACACACACACACACACACACACACACACACACACACACACACACACACACACACACACACACACACACACACACACACACACTCTCTACAGACCAGAGACAGAGACAGACACTTACCTTCACCCAATGATCATTTAACACCTCAGTCTTCTTACCTGCAGAAAGAAATTAAAATCGTCAAATGAAAGTAAGTGAGAGAGAGTGAGAGAGAGAGTGAGAGAAGTGCAAAGTGAGATTGGCTCTAAGTTAATACTGTCTCTATAACGATGGGTATTGTGGCTCACCTCTTGCACACATAGCTCTCTCTCTCTCTCTCTCATTATGTCTCTCGGTAAATGTCTCTCGGAAAATCTCGCGGAAATGTGTGGAGCTTTTAAGACGAGCAGTGATCACCTGAAGGAGTGGCTGACGATGTCTTAAATAAGGTGTGATTCATTCTTACGCCTTCAGAAGAGATTGTTCAGGGGAAAGTGGTGTGTGTGTGTGTGTGTGTGTGTGTGTGTGTGTGTGTGTGGTGTGTGTGTGTGTGTGTGTGTGGCACAACAGATAGGCATAAAAACGGGCCCATCTGAAGGTCACACAAAGGGGCTGTTCTAGGAGACTATTATAGAGGGCCGCAGTAGAAGGCCACACTATAGGGTTACAGTAAAGAGTCACACTACGGGGCCACACCACGGGGATTTACTGGATGGCCAGACTAGGTGGCTAAGAAAGAGGGCCACACTACGGGGGCCACACTATGGGGCCACGCCGCTTCTCATGAAAGAGCTTTGCGGTGTTCATTAGCCTTTAATTATTCTTGTTGACTCAGTATTACGTTTTTCACTCAACTCTTATATATTTTGTGTTAGTCTGTTTCTTGTATTATGGTATGATGATAATAATAATGATAATAATAATAATAATGATAATAATAATAATATGTAATAATAATAATATATATATATGGTATACTGTATGTGTGTTCACACAACAGTGAAGAAGTCGCGCCCCTAATGTTTAACGGTGGCTGGTGCCCTGAGGTGTGTGTGTGTGTGTGTGTGTGTGTGTGTGTGTGTGTGTGTGTGTGTGTGTGTGTATAGACTCTTGCCTAAATATCTGTGCATATTACGGAGTGCAAACAGCAGTGGTGGTGACAGAGGAGAGGGAGGGAGGAGGGAGGAAGGAAGTGAGGGGGAGAGAGGGATGACAGTGAGGGAGGGAGGGAGTGAGGGAGTGATGGTGGGAGGGAGTGAGAAAAGTAAGGGAGAGAGGAGAAGAGTAACTCACGTAAACCTAATCTTACACTGGCTCCCCACCACCGTCACCTTGCTGCCACTCCACCACACTGAGCGAGTTACAGCTGCCACTCCACCACATGAGGAGTTACAGCTGCCACTCCACCACACTGAGGGAGTTACAGCTGCCACTCCACCACACTGAGGGAGTTACAGCTGCCACTCCACCACACTGAGGGAGTTACGGCTGCCACTCCACCACACTGAGGGAGTTACAGCTGCCACTCCACCACACCCCCAGGGACCTCACCTCTAACCACGGCTCACCCCAACACCAAACTTTACACCTCTTATATTCTACAAATGAAGGTCAACAACAACAACAACAACAACAAGTAATACATGGAGGGATAGTGCTTGGGTCAGAGTCTAGATGGCGCTTTAACGTGAGAAAGGTGGTGGTAGAGAGTGGTGGTAGAGAAGTGGTGGTAGGGGGAGGGGTGGTAGTGGGGAGGTGGTGGTGGTTGTGGGGAGTAGTGGTGGTAGGAGGTGAGGTGGGTGGTTGTGAGGTAGTGGTGGTGAACACACACACACACACACAAAACTTTTACCACACAACAATCTAGGCAGAAAAAAACGCCGCTTGTTTTACCTTTCCTGTGGTGAATAATATAGAGGCGAGGTTGATACTAATAATTCAAACAGCCTAAAAGTGGTTACCTCTACTAACAAAACTTTGTAAACTGTGTCTATTGTGAGGATTAAAGGCTAAACCTTATTTAACTTAAACTAACTTAATCTGACTTAACTTAATCTAACTTAACCTACCCTAACCTAACCAATTTCTTTATCTTTTTCTTAATTATTCTTTGTCTCTCTCTGTCAATCAATCTTTTTCTCTTTCTTTCTCTCAATCTCTCTCTCTCCCTTACTCGATCTCTTTCTCACCCTGTCTCTCCCTCTCCCTCTCTTTTTCTCCCTCCCTCTCTCTCCTCGATCTTTTTCTTTCACTCTCCCTCACTCTCCCTCCCCTCCTCCCTCTCCTCCCTCCCCTCCTCTCCCTCCTCCTCCCTCTCCCCTCCCCTCTCCCCTCCTCCCTCCCACCCCCCTCCCTCCCTCTCCCTCTCCCTCACTCTCACACTGGCCTACGGATACAGCCACTCGGTATAATAACATGAACAGAAAACCTGGGATGGTTGACCACTGAATATTGTGACCCTTGACTACTTCACTAGGAGGAGGGAGGAGGAGGAGGAGGAGGAGGAGGAGACGGAGGAGGAGGAGGAGGAAGGAGGAGGAGGAGGAGGAGGAGGAGGAGGAGGAGGAGGAGAGGAGGAGGAGGACGAGGAGGAGGAGGAGGAGGAGGAGGAGGAGGAGGAGGAGGAGGAGGAGGAGGAGGAGGAGGAGGAGGAGGAGGGTGATTATGAGGTAGAGTAAGAAAAGAAGTAGTGGATGAAGAAGAAGGAAGAAGAAGAAGCGTTAATAAACAGAAGATAGGAAAAATAAATTGACTGAGAGAGACTATCCGGCAGCAGGACACAAATACTGCTCCAAGTTTAAGAAAGGTTGGCCGTTCACTCCGACCGGCTGGGCTATAGCTGTCCATCCGGCCGGCCGGTCTAGTTCCCCGTCCTCTCTAGCTGGCCTGGCTCTTGGTGTCCATCCGGTCGGTCTAGGTTTTTAACAGTCCAAATGGCTAGGCCTGACTCTAGCTACCCATCCGGCTGACCTGACTCTAGTGCTACATCCTCAACCTCCTCCTCCTCCAACCTCTCCTCCAACCTCCTCCTCCTCCTCCAACCTCTCCCTCCAACCTCCTCCTCCTCCTCCTCAACCTCTCCTCCAACCTCCTCCTCCTCTCTCCAACCTCCTTCTCCAACATATCTCCCCCACCTCCTCGTCTCCCCAGCGCCACCATCTTCCTGGTAGTGGAGGTGGGGAAGATGCTGTAGGGGAGATTAGGACCCCTTGGAGAACAAAAACAAAACCGGGACAGTGGCTTGGGAGAGAGAGAGAGAGAGAGAGAGAGAGAAGAAGAAGAAATTAAAACAAAAAACCATCTCCTCCTCCTCCTGCTTCTCTGTTTAAACACTTTTCATAGACACCATAAAAACAGTTGGGTGGAGGGTAACACAGGCAGTCAAAACGATTCTGGTGTCGTATCTGGTGCAAGTGGATCCTCCTCCTTCACGGCTCTAGATCCTCCTTCCTGATAACGTCCTCTCCCCCACGCGCGATGCTACATTGTTTTCTACGAGGGACCTTATTTACCTCCGCCCTTTATCGCCTTCTTCATTACAGCACTGGTTCATCGTTCACATTCTGAGCTCTGCCGTAAACTTTGCTGTGTGGATTGTGAGCTCTGCCGTAAACTTTGCTGTGTGGATTGTGAGCTCTGCCGTAAACTTTGCTGTGTGGATTGTGAGCTCTGCCGTGCTTTGCTGTGTGGATTGTGAGCTCTGCTTAAACTTTGCTGTGTGGATTGTGAGCTCTGCCGTAAACTTTGCTGTGTGGATTGTGAGCTCTGCCGTAAAACTTCTGTGTGGATTGTGAGCTCTGTAAACTTTGCTGTGTGGATTGTGAGCCCCGTAAACTTTGCTGTATTGAACTAAGCTCCATAAACTCTCTTGGTTCACAGAGTTGAGCCCGGTTTGAGGACATACATACATACATACATACATACATACATACATACATACATACAGACATACATACATATCTCATCAGTCATATAGACGAGACTTCATATACATACATACATACATACATACATACATACATACATACATAGAGAGAGAGAGTTCTCATGAGTGCCACAACCTCTTCCTTTTACACTGATTTAGGTCCAGATAATAGTGGCTCTATTCTCCTGTACCTCCAACACCTCCAACACTATCTCCATCACCACCTCCACTATCTCCAACACTCTCCACCATCTCCAACACTATCTCCATCACCACCTCCACTATCTCCAACACTCTCCACCATCTCCAACACTATCTCCATCACCACCTCCACTATCTCCAACACTCTCCACCATCTCCAACACTATCTCCATCACCACCTCCACTATCTCCAACACTCTCCACCATCTCCAACACTATCTCCACCATCATCACACAGGAGGAAGGAGCATGTTCTTGCCTTCACTTTACGTCCGCATAAAAAATACTGAAAGATTTATCACTCGACACTTGTTCTGAAGAGTTGTGATGGTTGTAGTGGTGGTTGTAGTGGTGGTTGTTGTGGTGGTTGTAGTGGTGGTTGTTGTGAGTGGTTTGTTGTGGTGGTTGTAGTGGTGGTGTGTGGTGGTTGTTGTGTGGGTTTATTGTAGTGGTTGTTGTTACCTATTGATTATAGTGAAACAATGAAATAAAAATATGCCATTGTTTTGTTTTTACTGTGTGTGTGTGTGTGTGTGTGTGTGTGTGTGTGTGTGTATGTGTATGTGTGTGTGTGTGTGTGTGTGTGTGTGTGTGTGTGTGTGTGTGTGTGTGTGTGTGTGTGTGTGTCAGGAGGTGTTTTCTCGGCTCTCACTCAGTAGAAATTATACTCTCACCTTGTCTCTCCACCCACCACCACTACAAGACCTCACAACCACATGAACTGGTTAGAGTGGTAAGAGCCTCTCTGGGGTATATCTGGGGTGGGAGGCCTCTCTGGGGGTATATCTGGGGGTGGAGGCCTCTCTGGGGGCTATATCTGGGGGTGGAGGCCTCTCTGGGGGTATATCTGGGGGTGGAGGCCTCTCTGGGGGGTATATCTGGGGTGGAGGCCTCTCTGGGGGGTATATCTGGGGGTGGAGACATAATAGTAGTGAGAGGGAGAGTCACAATGTATACAGTGGCCATAAAACAATATCCAACACTGTACTGCATCCCTCCTATCTGCTGGGGGACAAGGGTTGTGGTAGTGTCTGGGAGTGCTGGGGTGTCTGCTGGGGTCTGCTGGAGGGACAGGGGCGTTGTGGTAGTGTCTGGGGGGTGCTGGGGGTGTCTGCTGGGGTCTGTTGGGGGACGAGGGTTGTGGTAGTGTCTGGGGGTGCTGGGGGCTGCTGGAGTCTGCTGGGGACGAGGGAGGTCTGGGGGGTGCTGGGGGGTGTCTGCTGGAGTCTGCTGGGGACGAGGAGTTGTGGTAGTCTGGGGGTGCTGGGGGTGTCTGCTGGAGTCTGCTGGGGGACGAGGGAGTTGTGGTAGTGTCTGGGGGGTGCTGGGGGTGTCTGCTGGAGTCTGCTGGGGGCAGAGGGTGGTAGTGTCTGGGGGGCGTGCTGCTGAGTCTGCTGGGGACAAGGAGTTGGATTCTGTGCCACTAACTGAGATCTTTAACCCTTTGTATACGGGGGTCCTTCTGTGGTTTATATAATCGTCTGACATTAACTAAATAAATTATTATAAGTATCGTCCCCATAGTGAAGGTGTTAGTGGAGATAACTTATTATGTACACAAGCAGAGAGATAGCTGTGTGTGTGTGTGTGTGTGTGTGTGTGTGTGTGTGTGTGTGTGTGTGTGTGTGTGTGTGTGTGTGGAAATCGAGATGCGTGTGGCTATCATCACTATGTGTATAAGAGGTAATATGATCTGTGCAAGTACTGGTCATTGCACACTGTGTCCCTCGATACGACAGGTGATGATTCTTTCTGTTTTTATCTTTCGTTCTTCTTCATTTGCCGATCTACACCACCACACCCCATATACCATCTCACACCACACACACACACCATATCCTACCACAACACATAAGTTCATAACACTACTACACACCACAACACAACACAACACTACACATCACCATCACACATCACCACCACACATCACCACCACACATCACCACAAACACCACCAACCACACACCACAACCCACATCACCACACACCACCACCACACACCACCATCACCACCCACCACACATACCCCACCACACACCAACACCACCACACACCACCACCCACCACCACACCACACACCACACCACAACACCACACACCACCACCACCACACACCACCACCACCACACCACCACACCACCACCACCACCACCACCACCCACCACCACCACCACCACACCACCACACCACCACACCACCACCACCCACCACCACCACACCACCACCACCACACCACCACACCACCACACCACCACCACCACCACCACCACCACCACCACCACCACCACCACCACCACCACCACACCACCACCACACACACACCACCACACACCACCACCACCACACCACCACCACCACACCACCACACCACCACACCACCACCACCACCACCACACCACCACACCACCACCACCACACCACCACACCACCACACCACCACACCACACCACCACCACCACACCACACACCACCACCACCACCACACCACCACCAAGTTGGGTTGTTTCATTTACTTTCCTTTTAGCTCAAAAATCAGATTTGTTACAACCACCAGAATACTCCAGGGTGAGGGAACCACAATTTTTCCTCCTGATTCATAGTCCCCTACCACCTCCTTCATCTGTCTGTCTGTCTGTCTGTCTGTCTGTCTGTCTGTCTGTCTGTCACCTCTGTTTGTTTGCCTTTCCCTATTTACCTGTGTATGTATGTATGTATGTATGTATGTATGTATGTATGTATGTATGTATGTATGTATGTATGTATGTATGTATGTATGTATGTATGTATGTATGTATATATGTATGTATGATGTATGTATGTATATATGTATGTATTTTTTCATCCTCTCCTCCCTGCGTGTGGGTGGTGAGAGGAGGAAGGTGATTTGGTTGGGTGGCAGGGTGTGGGTAGTGGGGTGAGGGTGGCAGGGGTGTGGGTGGTGAGGTGTGGGTGGCAGGTGGGTGTGGGGTGTGGGTGGCGGGTGGGTGGCAGGTGGTGGAAATAGTAATCAACTCTAATAAAAATAAGGGCGATTTTTTTCTCTACATATATATCACACACACACACACACACACACACACACACACACACACACACACACACACACACACACACACACACACACACACACACACACACACACACACACACACACACACACACACACACACACACACACACACCTATCATTAATCTTAAATAACTCACTCTTTACTGTCTTCAATTTAGTATGGGAAGTGGAGGGGTGTGTGGGTGGTGGTGGGTGTGGGTGTGGGTGGGTGTTGTGTGGGTGGGGATGGGCGGGATCAACAGAGTCATGTAGGCGGGTTTAAGAAGGACAGGATGCAATGGTGTTGGTTTACAGTAGCCAGCTGTGTGTGTGTGTGTGTGTGCTGGGTGTGTGTGTGTGTGTGTGTCTGGGTGTGTGTGTGTGTGTGTGTGTGTGTGTGTGTGTGTGTGTGTGTGTGTGTGTGTGTGTGTGTGTGTGTGTGGTGTGTGTGTGTGTGTGTGTGTGTGTGAAATGACCAGTAAGTATGTGGTGTGTGTAAGTGTAAAGTGTTTTGGCCAGATTTTGGGGACTAGTAGCAACCATCCTCACTAGTCAACAGCTACCTTCCTTCTCCCCCTTCCTCCTCCTCCTCCCCCCTTCCTCCTGCCCCTCTTCTCCTTCCTCCCGCCCCTCCTCCCCTTCCCCTGTCCCCCCTTCCTCCTCCCCCCTTCCTTCTGCCCCCTCCCCTGCCCCTGCTCCTCCCCTTCCTCTCCCCCTTCCTGCCCCCTCCTCCTCCTCCCTCCTTTCTCTCTCCCTCCCCTCCTAGAGACCATCTGCAGGGTATTTGACACCACCTGTGGAGACTCGCACCATGGGGGGGAGAGGGGAGTAGGAGGAAGGGAGGGAAGAGAAAGGAAGAAGGAGGAGAGAAAGGAGGGAGGAGGACAGGAGAGAGGAAGGGGGGGCTATGGTGGTCTTAGGTATGTTTACACCTTCACCTATGAACCTGTTCACACACACACACACACACACACACACACAGTGAACGTGAGACACCATACATATCATTCCTAAACTAAAAACGTTAACTCTCTACTATTTTTAAGTGGATCGTCCGAGTGTGTTCCGCCGTAAAGTTATGTAAGTGTTCGTAAAACGTTATCTTAATGTCATCCCACTTATGGAGGTAGAGGCGGTGTGGAGGGGCGAGGGTATGGAGGTGAGGTGGTGTGGAGGGGCGAGGTATGGAGGTGAGGTGGTGTGGAGGGCGAGGATGGAGGTGGTGGTGTGGAGGGCGAGGAGTATGGAGGTGAGGGTGGTGTGGAGGGCGGGGTATGGAGGTGAGGCAGTGTGGAGGGCAGGGGAGTATGGAGGTGAGGTGGTGTGGAGGGGCAGGTATGGAGGTGAGGTGGTGTGGAGGGGGCGAGTATGGAGGTGAGGTGGTGTGGAGGGCGAGGTATGGAGGTGAGGTGGTGTGGAGGCGAGGTATGGAGGTGAGGCAGTGTGGAGGGCGGGGGGTATGGAATGGTGGTGTGGAGGGCGGGGTATGGAGGGTGAGGCAGTGTGGGAGGGCAGGGTGGAGGTGAGGCAGTGTGGAGGGGCAGAGGGTGTGGAGGTGAGGTGGTGTGGAGGGGCAGGGGGTATGGAGGTGGGGTGGTGTGGAGGGGCGAGGGGGTATGGAGGTGGGGCAGTGTGGGAGGGCAGGGGTGTGGAGGTGGGGCAGTGTGGAGGGCAGGAGTATGGAGGTGAGGCAGTGTGGGGCAGTGTATGGAGGTGGTGGTGTGGAGGCAGGGAGTATGGAGGTGGGAGGCGGTGTGGAGGCGGGGTGTATGGAGGTGAGGCAGTGTGGAGGGCGAGGGTATGGAGGTGAGGAGGCAGTGTGGAGGCAGGGTATGGAGGTGAGGCAGTGTGGAGGGCAGGGTGTATGGAGAGTGGGGTGGTGTGGAGGGCAGGGGGTATGGAGGGTGAGGGGTGGTGTGGAGGGCGAGGGGGAGTATGGAGGTGAGGGCGGTGTGGAGGGGGCGAGGGAGTATGGAGGGAGGACAGTGTGGGGAGGGCGAGGAGTATGGAGGTGAGCAGTGTGGAGGGGCAGAGGTGTATGGAGGTGAGGTGGTGTGGAGGCGAGGTATGGAGGTGAGGTGGTGTGGAGAGAGAAGGGGTAGGGAGGATCGAGGCAATAGGGAGGAGCAGAGGCAGTGATGGGAGGTGAGGCGGAAAGGGAGGAGGCAGAGGCAGTAGGGAGGAGCAGGAGGCAGTAGGGAGGAGCGAGGCAGTAGGGAGGAGCGAGGCAGTAGGGAGGAGCGAGGCAGTAGGGAGGAGCGAGGCAGTATGTAGATCAGGCGGTAGTAAAGGCCTCTTCCTCCCGTCTTTTACACACCGTGAATCCTTCATTGCTTTCTGAGCGTCTCTCCCAACACAACCCAGCCCTCCCTCCCCGCCCGTCTGTGCCCCTACACTCTCCAGTACTACTCAAACATGGCTGAGTCAGGCAGCCTGGGTCAGGTTTTGGGTAGCGATTGGTTGGTTCTAATCCCCGACCTCCCTGACCCCTCCTGGCCCCCTGACCTCCTCCGCCCTTCTGATGCCTCCTGACCCTCCTGGCTCCCCCCCCTTTCCCTTTGACTCGAGACGTGACCTGGGTGGATGGTCGCTCGAGGCTTAAATTGCGACATGTTTTAATTTTCAGGTTGGGCCCCTCTCAGTAAGGCTCTGTGTGTGTGTGTGTGTGTGTGTGTGTGTGTGTGTGTGTGTGTGTGTGTGTGTGTGTGTGTGTGAAGTTTCTCAGTAGCTGTGTGTGTGTGTCTCTGGCCTCCTCCAGTACTCAGCTGTGTTTGTGTTTGGCTTATCTACGTCAGGTTGGAGTAAGAGAGGTGGGTGGGGGATCGAACCAATGTCCTCCAAATGAACTTATCCAGTCATATGAGCTCTACGCCACATCATCTTGTCACTCTTTATCAAAAAATTTACGTGAAAGTTTGTTGGTGAAAGTACATCAAAGGGAAAGTTTGTAGGAAAGTTTTTTAAAGTCACTACAAGGATATTAATTCTTAAGGCAGGAAAAGAGAAAGAGAGAGAGAGAGAGAGAGAGATTATTCTTCGATATCTATCTCTTGATGGCTATTCTCTCCCCTCCTTAAAATTAAAGTTAGCTCCCTCCTTTTAATTAAAATTATTCCTCCTTAAATAATCCATCTCTAAAAAAATATATATATATAAATTAAATCTTTCTCAACCATTTTGTCTCATCTCTTCATAATCCAATTCTCTGTCTGTCTGTCTCTCTCTCTCTCTCATTCTTCTTTAACTGTTTTTCTCCCTCTCTCTCTTTTCTCCTCCACCTTCTCTCCCTCGTTCTCCCCAATTCTCTCCTCATTACCCGAATCTCTCTCTCTCTCTCTCTCTCTCTCTCTCTCTCTCTCTCTCTTCTTTTCTCAACCAATTTTCCTCACCACACACACACACACACACACACTAAAAAACACCACCAAACACACGAATA